CGGATTTTTTTTCATCGCGGAGAAAGTAAGCGGTACCAAAGATGCTAAAAAGTGTCAGTATCCCAATAATATTAAGAGTAATTGTAACGTAATTTAAATTTGTTATCTTCGATATAACTGCAATATACTGAACACATATTATGAGTTCCTACTGAATCTAAAGGAGGGGCATAAGCTTTTTTACATCACACAATGTTGCAAATTCTGAACTATGACGTTTCATATAATAAACAAAGTTAATAAGTGATGATCAGTCAAAGAGTTTATAATTATAAAACTAAGAATTAGAACTAACTTCTAAGAAATTGGCATTCAAAAAGTTTTAATCTTGTACGATTTTTAATACTTTAGTTCAATTTTTGTATTTAAGTGCATTATTTTAAAAAATTGCAGTATTTTGCAGACTAAACCCAAATATATTTATATATTTTAATTTTTAACCATCCTAATACTTAGACAATATGAAAATAGAAAACATAAGAATAAAATTTGGTTTCCTTTTTAGAGTACTTGGATTACAGCATAATGCATCAAAGGCCCTCTTTCTTCAATTCATATTCTACAAGTATACAATCAATAGTCTTGAACTACTATTGGACGTCAGGTAACTGAAAAAATTGATAAATCTTCACTGAAATTTACGGCCTATTCTTTCTTATCAAGCTTCATGTGAAAAAATAAAATGTTTATGCTAAGCTTTTTTACTCTCCTATTTAGATTTTGTCATTAAATTGCAAATTTCCAAATCTTTAATTAGTACTCACTAAAGATGTCGTTCAAGCTGGAGCGCTTTATAATTACATTATAATTATACTAGCACAAATGGGACATCTCTTTAGGAGCACCTCAGCAGAACATTTTGTTCATCAGCTTCATTACTGGACGTATATCCTGACTTTTCTTGGACAGGCGTTCTCGTTCTAGAATAATTGATAGGGATAGTGATAATATATTATATACAGTACCAATTAATAATGACCAAATCGCGCCTTGAACATGTTGAAGCAATATCAAGAAATGATTACACTTGGTCATTTTAATGGCTAAGGATATTGATTAGATCACTCGTTCGTTAGCTTTATATATAACAAAGAGTCGGAAAGAATAACAATAGTACTTCTTAATTGATTGATTGACTTGATAAACATTTTGATTGATTTTTTTGGGAGTGACGCATATTGAAATATACACCTAATTTATATCAATACTTGATATAGTTATCTAGGAATAACGTTAATTCTGACGAGACGATAAAGTGATAAAGGGGATTTTTTTTCAGAGTTTTTTAAGTCATAGGTAATTTAAAACTAGGAGAATGGGGAACAATTCATCAAAGCCTAAAGACTTGAAGGGGTCTCCATTGTCGCGTACAGACACGGGAAACTCGGCAAAGTCTTCAAGATCTATCAGGTCAAGGATATCAATGCTGAAGGATGACAGTTCAACGAATGGTTCACCAAAGACGGGATCGAAGTCAACTTCACGCAAGAATTCATCGACTAGTTTGAACAACATGAACAGCAGCAGTCATAGTATGAACATACCGAACAACGGGAACAATAATGCTCATTCAAATAATAACTCCAATTCCAACTTATCGAATTCGTTTTCAAACTTGAGCTTACAAAAAAACCCATCAAATCAGCATGCTAACAATAATTTTAATTTACCACCTTCGATGATTCAAGTGGAACCGAAAGAACCCATTTTAATTAGGCGAAATACAGGTACAGATGGAGAGGATACACCACTAAGTCCCAAAAATCATTCATTTAATTCGAATTCACCTTATTTATCATCATCTTTTGATAACAGCAATCCTTCGAACAACATAAGTAGGACTTCAACAAACCATTCACATCATTCCGGAAGTATTAGTAATTATCCATTATCACCGCAACTAACGTCATCTAGTGCAAATGGAAGTACCAAAGACTTACAAGAGGATACAAATAAGGGTCTGGAAAGCCAACTGTCGATTGATAATATCAACAAGGAGGTACCGATTAATAATATACTGCATAGCTCAACTGCTGATTCTAATGAAAGCAATGATAACAGCTCTATTGATATTGAGAATTTGATTCAGAGATTATTGGATGCTGGTTACAGTGGTAAGAAAACAAAAAGCGTTTGTCTTAAGAACCATGAAATTCAGTTGATCTGTGCTAAAGCAAGGAACATTTTCTTGCTGCAGCCATCATTGTTAGAATTAAGCCCTCCTGTTAAAGTGGTTGGGGATGTGCATGGTCAATATGGCGATTTAATTCGAATTTTCACTAAGTGTGGGTTTCCTCCTCAAACAAATTATTTATTTTTAGGTGATTATGTCGACCGAGGAAAGCAGTCCTTAGAAACAATCTTACTTTTACTATGTTATAAAATTAAATATCCTGAAAATTTTTTTCTTTTAAGAGGAAATCACGAATGTGCTAACGTTACTAGAGTTTATGGGTTTTATGATGAATGTAAGCGTCGTTGCAATATCAAGACGTGGAAGCTATTCATAGACACTTTTAATACTTTACCTATAGCTGCTATTGTAGCAGGAAAAATATTTTGTGTGCATGGTGGACTATCTCCAGTACTTAACTCGATGGAAGAAATTAGAAACATTGCAAGACCAACGGATGTGCCAGACTTTGGTCTATTGAATGATTTACTTTGGTCAGATCCGGCCGATACCATGAATGAATGGGAAGATAATGAAAGAGGTGTGTCTTATGTATTCTCCAGAGTCGCTATTAATAAATTTCTACAGAAATTCGGGTTTGACTTGGTCTGTAGAGCCCATATGGTTGTTGAAGATGGTTATGAATTTTTCAATGATAGAACATTGGTGACGGTTTTTTCTGCGCCGAATTATTGTGGTGAATTTGATAACTGGGGTGCAGTTATGAGTGTGAGTGATGAGTTACTTTGTCTGTTTGAATTATTAGATCCGTTGGATAGCATTGCGTTGAAGCAAGTGATGAAAAAGGGTAAAGAAGAACGGAAAAATGCGCAGTTACAGCAACTGCAAGATTAAATTCAAATCAAATGCAGTCGACGCTGAGTTTTACTTTAATGATTTCATGATATTTTTCTAATGTCCATATATATATATATAATTTTTATACATCTGCTACAACAGAACCGTTTTAATTTTTTAACTGGTACATTCTGTAATTAATTTTCATCTTGTAGATATCTCGTATTACCTCATAGTTTGTGTAACAATATTTTGGATTAAAGAACTAAAGTTCTGTACCAAATGTCTTTTTCAGATATTATCCATGATGTCAAAGTATAATAACTCGTTTAGTTTTCTATTGAACACCGAAAATATCGAGCCATTATTAGAGTTAGTGAACAAGCTTTCTAGAACAGTTGAACAAAATGCAGAGATATTAAATAGATTAACTCATACAATAGATAATGATTTCAGATTTCCTGACTTGCCAATAGATATCGAAAATACTCCACCAATTGAAAACGAAACAGACCCATTGAGGCAGCTTTTAAACCAGAAGTATAAATTGGATGACTTTTCTATCAAGAATGAAATTATTGATAAAGTAACTAATCCTCGCATCAAAGAATTATTGTTGGACAATGAGAAGTTGAATAGATTACAAATTTCGAAAAAGAAGACTAACACTGAATTGTACGGCATTGTAAAAGATTATGAAATGTTCATATTAGAAACTATGTTGCCATCTTTAAGGAGAGATATTGAAATATATAGACAGGAAATTAGTGGAGATGTGAAAGTAAAGCAGATACCTTTGAAGTTTGCGGCTTCCGAAAAATTATGGTCGAGATATGTCACATACATAGCTTATCTTGATAAACTAAGCAAATTGTGTAAAAGCCTAATGCATATGCTAGAAGAAACTCAAAACAACAAAGAAGTATTGATTATAGAACAAAAATTAATTAGTATCAATGAATTAAAACTAAATTTACAAAAGCGGTTGGCGAAGTAAACTAATGCTTCCCAAGATACCGGGATGAATGCAATAAGGCAATTGGAATTAATCCAAATGCTGCCACTAGGCCAGCTAGTATTCCGTATGTACTCTTGATTCCAAGATTAGGATTCTCCAACATCACCGGAAAATAAAATGGTCCAACGAAACCAAATACCTGCCGTACCACAGTTATAAACAATGCTATATTTGATGCATTTGAAGGGTTTGAGTCGATTGCGTATGTGACTAAAATGGTAGTTATTATTTGTAAACCAAATGAAGCAAGACATAAGCCCACGAGCGGTCCAAATCTCCACTTATTATCAGTAATATTACCTAGCAAAACTCCATAAATGATCAATCCTACGATTGCAATAATGAAACCCAGATACGATAACCATAAGCGATCTTCAATGGTTTTTTCTGACTTTTTGAAATGAAAATAATACTTCATCCAAAGGTCAGACACCCATCCACCAATTTGCTCTCCTAATATACATCCCAAAATTAAACTTAAGAATTGTAAGCCTATCTGCTGTGGGTTAAAGTTAAACTTTTCGTGGAACAAGCTAGTTAACTCTACTCCACATGCAACATTTGCATAACAAAATGATACAGAATATGCAATGGCAGGGATGACGACTTTTGGCTTATTTATGCATTTGATTGGACTTAATATTACTGCAAGGTTTAAATCACATTCAGTTTTTGGTCGTATTTTGAAGAGTGAATTGATTGATTTGGTATATATCTTAGAATTGTACACAGTCTCTTTTCCCAAAGTCAAATACCCAAAGAATTGCAAGAAATTCATTATTGCAAATACAACAAAGGTATATTTAGTATCCCCTGTTTGATACTGAACAAAACCCATAAGAAATGGACCTACATGTGTTCCTAAAGTAACTCCAACAACCCACCAACCAGTCCACCAGCCTAGCTGATGACTGAATGTCAATTCAGATACTACACCACCTCCCACCGCGATAGCTGGGGAAACGAAGAAAGCACCGAATATACGGCAGATCATAAGGTCTCTGTAATTGTCGGAGAATATACAACCAATGTTAAAAACACATGACCCTAAAGCTGATAATATTAATAACTGGAGTCTTCCATACTTATTCATAAAAGGAACCCATAATAATGGAAATATACCCAACACTAGAATTTGAGTAGAAGTGAAGTATGAACAGGCGCTAACTGAAGTACCGAACTCTTCCAGTAGGGTTGCAAAGGATGGAATAACTCCTGCGGCCATAAATGTCGTCGAAAATGCATGAAATGAAAGCATCCCTAACTGTATAGCTTTGACTCCTACAGGCCAGTTTAAAGGATCCTCATCATTAATGGACGGTATTGGGTCTAATTTGTAAGTACCATGTTTATCAGTCAAGTATTGTTTGTGGTCATCTGACAATTCTTCCCATGGTTCTTCACTTGAAGTAGGTACCTTCGTATCGAAAGATACATTTTCCTTCTCTAATTCATTCTCTTTACTAGAATTAATCCTCATATTAGCCATCTAGATCATTGTAATTCAATATGTACTGGCGAATGTTAGATTCACACGCAAAATTTTTTTTCACCCAGATATTTCTTCGGATAATGTTTGTGCCGCACATACCCAACGGCATGAGATAATGCGGAATGTACCTAAGAAACTACTTAAGATGTGATATAAACAGTATATTTTCTGATAATATGTATGCTATCGAATCTAGATATTGTAAATAAATGGTGATATAATATATATATCGTCTAATTTGTAATCATTTCGTTATGACTAATGACCACTTAATGAATGTATGTAAATGAACTTGGCAATCTCAAACATAATTATGTGAAGTATAAGCATGATTTGAAAGTTTACGAATGATTTCAATTAGAAAACATCTAGTATTAGTTCAAATATGTCGAACAATAAAAGAACGATACGGCTCAAATCATCATTATAGCTCGAATAAAAACATAGTGGAGACATATTCATTCAATGCGTTGTAGAAGGCTTGCTGCCTGGTAAATCTTGTATTTTTCAACATGAATCATCAATCATTTTACGGAATTTGGAAACTCATCATCATCATATGGAGATAACAAATTATTAATTGTAGGTTTTTTGGAAACGTGTTTATCTTCTTGTGTAGGTGCCAGCCGAGCAATATCTTTGGAATTACTCGTGGATGCTGAGGACTCATCATTTAATACCTCTTTTAGCCATGTTTTTGAAGTTTTTGAAGTATTTATAGGGTTGAATTGGGTAGGAATAGGTAATTCTTGAACAGACGGCAAAGTGATATTCTTGTTCACAGAGTTGCTCGGCATACTATTATTGTTAATAGGGTGATTATAAGGTGGTAAGCGTAAAGTGTTAGAATTGATGTTAGGAGATTTTGGCAAATCCATGGTTTGATTAAACGCGTGATGAAATAATGGTGATAATGGACTAACCATATTTGGGGTTAAGGGCGCCGATTTCGGTGGATAAGTGAAGGCACCATTCGTAGTGTACAATGCTGGTGCTGACTTCAACAGCTGCCTTATATGTAAGTTGTTATTGTCACCGGGCGCCATATTTTCTGTGAATGAATGAACTAGCGATAAGGGTCTTGGTCTTCTTTTTGGCTTAAATTCGCTAATTTTTGTCTTTAATTGTGAATCTGGATACAGAAAGCTATTATTTCCACTACTGCTACCCAGTTCGTAATTATTATTCTGATAGAACTGATTTTGGTACGGCAAGTGATAATTTACAGGCGAGTTTGTATTTGGAGGGGAGATCATTGCAGCTGATTCAGGCGTGTTACCTAAACCACAGTTCATAGGACTCTCAGGAGCTCCTTTGTTTGCACTACTATTTCTGGATAAATGATTTGGAATGGGCATATAGTTAGTATTATTAGTCTCCATACTCCCACTCGTACCTTCGGAGTTGTAACTGGTCGAAACCGGGAAATTATTTGAGCTGCTGCCCATGAAGCTTTCATAAGCATGCACTGTCTGTTTATGTTGTCGCAAGTTGTCTAGCCTTGAAAAATTCTTATGGCAATGGGGACATGTAAACGGCCTTTCCCCTGTATGTTTTCTCTTGTGCCTCGCTAAATGCTCTGATCTTGTGAACGACATATTACAATCGGGGTACCCAGTACATTGAAATACCCTCCCTTTCGACGCCCGCTTCTTTTTGGAGTTCGTGTTATATGCATTGGCAGTCTTTGTACTCGCCAGGTCTTGAACCCCTCTACGATGATCTTCAGGATCCGATTCTCTTGTTTCTGAACCTTCATCTTCTCCTTGTTTGGATTCTGTGACTGTTTCAGCTAACAGCAGCAGCAGCAGTATCATAATATTTTGCTTTTGTTCGTTTGAATTAGGTGTATGTTCACCTTTTTTGTTTATTTGCGCATGTTCAATGTTCTCAGCTTCTCTCGTGTCGTCCGCCGTCTCTTTCAGCAATAATGCAGGTGTCTTATTAATTGCAGGCATATTATATCATTAAACACCTTCGATCCTCTCAACCATTAAACTGGACTTGAGAACAGTATATAATAGAAGTAAATAAAACAAATTACGATTTAACTAATAATAATAATAGGTACATTGCAGGGTACATTCCGAATGTTTAGGCTCGATTTTGAAAATAATTTTAAGCCGACTGTATATTAATAGAAGTGTTCCAAGGTGACAAATGAAATCGCTTTCGCTACCACTCTATGACGTCAACTGCTGTCAATTAGTATAGATTAGTAAAAGAAGTATTCATTCTCGGAATGATGACCTACAACCACTATTTTGGGATTCCATATAACTTACGGTTTAGACGTGTAGAGACTGTTCGGATTGATTGAGTTGTTGATGGTGACTCAGGCAATTGACAGAAATAGCCAAAAGCGTTACGGCTTGCCGTGCTAAAACACCACTGTAACGTGATATGAGCTCTAGTTTAAGAAAAACGGGCGGTCAGTTTCAGAGAACATAGACAGAAAGCTACGATGTAAAATGCACGTACGTAATGGATTATGCCAGTATTTTGATCGAAATAATATACTATATAGGCCCGATGGTGAAAACTCCATTAGCATTATATACAGTTAGACTACCAGAGCGGGTCGGGTTGAATAAGGCCAATCAGCAGCAGGAGCTGCTCTCGACTTTGGGCTGTTCAATGTTGATATCCACAGTTTCGGGCTGGGTAGATTCGTCTTTGGCCGACGTTTCGATGTCTGGTAAGCTCGATGCAATTTTTTTAAACAATTGTTTGACATTGTGGTTGGCCTTGGTAGACGTCTCGATGCAAAATTTCCCGTTTATCGACTTGAGGTACGCCTCACATTCCTCCATGGTCACCTGTCTCTTGTTGTTAAGGTCCGACTTGTTGCCCACAACGACTATTATCACGTCGTCCCCCCGTTCCAATTTCACGTCCTGGATCCACTTATTCAAGTTCTCAAATGATTTCTTATTTGTTATGTCATAACATATCACTGCCACATGCGAGTCTCTAATATATGATGGTATCAACGATCTGAACCTCTCTTGCCCTGCAGTGTCCCATAACTGCAATCTAATCGTCTTATTGTCTTCCAAATACATAGTCTTCAGCAAAAAGTCTATACCTATTGTGGCTGCATATTGATCGTCAAACGTGTCATACATGAATCTGGTTATCAATGATGTTTTACCAACTACCGATGTTAGTATACTGTCGTTTGACTTAATGAATTTTCTCATTTTCCATCATCTATTGTCGATGTTTTTTTTTTATACATACCACTTTGATCCCCCAAAAACACAATCTTGTACTTTCTTAGAATGTTCGATTTATCCATCGGTGGCTATTTCTTGTTGTCTGTTGTTAGTTGCTTGATTCACTTGAGCAATTCATTTTAAAGTGGACTCTCTTATTGATTACATAATACGTCCGTGAGAATTAACTCATCAGTTATTTCTCAGCGGGCGCTTACTACGTATAGTTCATTCCACACAGTTTAGTTTAGTTGTACGTGAACGATGGACGACGCAGAGCTTAATGCTATAAGATCAGCAAGATTGTCTGAATTGCAGAAAAATTCTGGTCAAGCACCGGCTGACCAAGGTGGAGATAAAAAGGATGAGATGAAACTTTCGATGTTATCACAAATACTCGAAACAAGCGCCAGAGAAAGATTGAGCAGAGTAAGAATTGTTCGTCCAGATAGAGCTGATGCAGTCGAGCAATATATCATCAAGTTGGCGGCAATGGGGAATATTACTCGGAAATTATCAGAAAACGATATAGTGGAGATTCTCGACGGTATATCACGAGATGAAAAGAAGCAAACACAGAGCAAGATCGTGTTCGACAGAAGGACCACAAGCATTGACTCGGACGACGACGACGACTTCTTTGATTAGGCTAGGTATATAGTGATAGTGATAGTAATAGTAATTATGGTAGTGTATATGTGTACTGCATATAACCAAATGGGAAATCACATATTTTGTAAACAAAGACTAACAAACACCAAAAAACAACAGCTTTGACGTAGAGTGGATTAGCATCTAAAGAATAGTGCAGATAGATATGGCGTCTAATATTCAAGTAGTAGTACGGTGCCGGGGGAGGAATTCTCGAGAGGTTACGGCCAAATCTCCCCCTGTTGTTGACCTTCCTAGTGATACATACTCGATTTCCAATCCCACGATAACTGTGAACCAAGATCAACAGTTTTCCACATTTATTAATTCTATGAATTCCAAAACATACACGGTGGACCAAGTATATGGATCACAGGCCGACCAGCTGTTGTTATTTGACAAAGTAGCGATGCCGCTATTCAATGACTTCATCAATGGATTTAATGTAACGATACTAGCGTACGGGCAGACGGGTACGGGAAAGACATATACAATGTGTGGTAACTGTAATACAGAGGATGCAGTTGATAAGTTAGAGACTTATATTCCTCTGCTAAATGAAACGGCCGGTATAATTCCTAGGACCTTAAACGAACTTTTCAAATCGTTAGAAAGCGATTCTGGGGCAAATGATTACGTGGTAAAATGCTCCTTTATTGAGTTGTATAACGAGGATTTGAAAGACTTGTTAAACGATGATACTGATAGAAGCAGCAGGTTGAGAATATTTGAGTCCAAGAAACCAAATAGTGATACACTAATTATCCAAAATTTGCAAGAAACGTATATTAATAATGCAATTGATGGGCTAAATATATTACGAAAGGGTCTAATTAAGCGTAAAACAGCTAGTACTAAACTAAACGACGTATCTTCTAGATCTCATACGATATTTACCGTTAATTTATATAAGAAGCAAGGCAATGAGTTTTTCAAGGTTTCTAAAATGAACTTAGTGGATTTAGCTGGATCTGAAAATATCAATCGGTCGGGTGCTGTCAACCAGAGAGCTAAAGAAGCAGGTCTGATTAACCAAAGTTTATTAACTTTAGGCAGAGTGATTAATTCGTTAAGTGATAGAAGCTTATCATCTTCTAATACATCACATATTCCATATAGAGAATCTAAGTTGACAAGACTTCTCCAGGATTCTATTGGAGGTCAAACAAAAACTGCTTTAATTGCAACTATATCACCAGCTAAGATAAACTTAGATGAAACGATCTCTACATTAGAATATGCTTCTCGAGCAAAGAACATACAGAACAAACCACAGTTAGGACAAGATTGTGATTTAATGCTCAAGAAAATCTTATTAAAAGATATGTCAAAGGAAATCGCTAAGCTCAATAATGATTTGATTGCTACCAGAAACAAGAATGGTATTTGGATGGATGAAAATAACTATAATACATTAATTGAAAATAATGATATAATAAAAGCTGAACTAAAGGAATCCAATTCAATAATAAGTGGATTAAACATGAAGCTTAGTCAATTATCTAATTTGAAAAAGACCACAGAATTGAATAATAAGAATTATAAAAATAAAATCAACGAGTACCAGTTAAAAGTTAAGAACTTGGAAAATATTGAGGTTAGTAACAAAAAGCAGATATCTGACCAAGAGTCTATGATAAGCATGTTAAATGATAAAGTATTAAAATTGAATGAAAATTACCAGTCGTCTAAGCTTCAATTAAATCAATTGATTACCAATAGTTTGAAAAGCTCAATATCACTGATAGAAAGTGTTGTTAATGATTTGAACAATTCCAAAGAGAGTCAAAATAAAAGCTTAAATTCAAGTATTGAGAGTATTCAAAATAATTTACAGGCCTGTAAGAACCATTTATCGGAAACAATTTCTTCAACAAATACAAAATTAAGCGAGTCTATAGATAAGATTCCTAAGATGATGAATGATATAAATGCCAATTTTCATGAATTTCATGATATCGTTTCGGATAATGAAGCGAAAATAAAGTCAAGTATGTCAGACTTGAAAATAGCTAATGATAAATTTTCGGGATACATAACAGAGGAGCACTTGGATCCACATGCTTTAAACAATTTCATTGATCAGATAGTATCAGAGCGGGTAAATAAGCAGTTGTCGTCAATAAAATCAGATATGATGACTAAATTTGCTACAATGCTAGATGATTCACATCTCAAACATGAAATTCTATTTAAAGATTCAATCAACGAAGTTTCATCCAAATTTATGAATTCGGAAAGAAGCACGTTATTGGAAAGGCAGTCAAATTGGTTTCATGAATCGAAGAAATTTTACAATTCGATAGAGAAGGACGCTACTTCCTTTAGAAAGCAGTATCACGATTTCAATGACGAAAATTCTCACAAACTATCTACTACAACAAATAACATCTCATCACTCATTACAAATACTATAAATCCAAATCTAGCTAAAATTAACCAAATAATTGATAAAAACAATTTATTGGAAGATATGCCAAAATTAAAAGCCATAAGTGACCTGATAATACAAAAAGACGACAAATTATGCGATTCATTAAATGACATTAATCAGAATATGAACACTCTTCAGCATCAAATAACGTCAAATGAAGCTAATATTATTGTGAAATCGCCAGTGCGGTCACCCTATAAATCACCTGTTAAGCATTCAAAACAATCACCTTTGAAGCAATTCAATTCACCAACGAAGGAACCTACATCTTCCCCTTCAAAGCGATTACCAAGTGCAAAATCATCGCCCTCCAAGAAATCCCCTTTGAAAAGACAATCATCTTCGATTGCATTAAGCGTTAATACTGACTTACAAAGAACTAAAATCCCACAACTCAGTAGATCGAATTCGGATAAAGAGAATTTATCGGCGGTTGCTTTCAAAAGAAGAAGAATTATTCATGACGTAAATACTACTCTTAATAAGTAATTGTATATGTAATTTTAATATAGATTAATTTCTGCTGCGAATTATTTAATGTGACAGTTTTGAACAGCACTGAGATTTACAAAATCATAAACCCCATACACTTTCTTAGGTTGATTCAACCAACAATGATTATAGATAAGAGCTATCAATACTTTATTGGGTATATATCAGTATCAATAGCCTTAATAAGCTGGTCAGTTTATACTTCTCTTGAGATATCTCCGAACGTTTTTACATTTTTGATTGAGTTTACAGATGGTTATAAGTTAGGTATATTGCTTAATTTTTTATTTCTATCATTTGTCTTAAGTGGAAAATTTATACAACTATTATTGTTTGGACACCTAAGAATTATAGAAGTTGAGCATCTTGTTGAAAAGTTGCCAATATATTTCATTAATTTATTATTTAATTTGACAACTAATGATAACAATCTAATCTTAAATTGCTTACTATTAGGTATAGCAGTCAGTTTCAAGATCTTCCATGTGATTCTTATTGACAGATTGGACTACATTCATATGAAGATCTTTAATAATTCGTCAAATGAAAGATATACGACGTATAATATTTTACAGAAATATCTGAGAAGTTTGCATTTTTGGTTAATTTTATTGTTTATTATAAGCGATTTTGCAATTGCTAAATTCTTAGTTTATGATGTGTTTCAAGGAATCAATTCCGTGACGTGCTTGTTGTTTGGATTCCAGTTTGCTGTTCAAGGAGTGGAGGCTTTAACGTACTATTCGAAATTACTATTAAATATTTATGAGCTTGCATTTTACCGTCATCATCAGGATGATTTCGATATTGATGAAGAAAATGAGGAAGAATTAGATGAAGATGAAGAAGAGGACAATGAAAGAGTTTGGGATAATAAGGCATTCTTCAGCAAAAGCATTGATATATGCTCTGCTTCCTTGAAAGCAATTTCATATTTAGGGTTTATTTACTTACTCACAATTCATTCGGGGTTGTCTTTGCCAATTTCCATGCTTCAAGGAACTTACTTATCTTTGAAGCAAACTTACAAAGAAATATCGCAATTATTTGCTTTTATTGAATCTTCTAAAAAATTAGATAGCCAATTACCTAATGCGACTAAGGAAGAATTAGAAACATCTGATAATTTGTGTATTATTTGCAGGGAAGATATGTACGCATTGGATGAATATGAGAGAACCCACCATAAAAGTTTGCCTGCTAGGAGGTTCCCCAAAAAATTGAATTGTGGTCATATTCTTCATATGGGATGCTTGAAGGATTGGCTCGAAAGATCCGAAATTTGCCCACTATGTAGAAGAAAGGTATTTCAAGCTGAAGCAAACGATTTACAACAACAAGCACATGAACAAGTACAACCAGAAGCTGAACCAGAAGCACAACCGGAAGCACAACCAGAAGCACAACCAGAAGCACAACCAGAAGCACAACCAGAAATAGCTATACAAACTCAACAAGCACAACCAACACCAACCAACGAAGAGTCCTCAAGAAGAAATGCTGACCTTGAATCACAAAGGAATCAAAATGTTTTAAATGGACTTAATATTCCAGCAGAGTATCCCGAGCCTACAATTACACCACCTCCTACAAGGACAACCGAACCGTCTGAAGTATTTCAGACTATTAGACTTCCAACGACTGCCATAATACCCCAAGACTGGACAATTCTTCCGTTGCATAAATCGGCAAATGAACAATATAAGGTTGATTTTTCGACATTTAACCAAGGAACCCTCACCATAAAACAAAAACCACCCGGCAATGAATTGAGTATAATTGAGCCAAACTTATCCTCTTCTAACGGTGATGAAATACGTATTAATGACCCCAGAAATGCTCACTCCACTAATGATTCTAATTAGTCTTTATTTACATTTGAAATAGATGCAATTATTATTAGTTACATATAATATATAATTTATCAATATATTACTATACAAGACTTTGAATTAATCAAAGTCGAAATCAAAATTCATACTTTGATTGTTTTCTTCTAAATTATCATTTCTTGAATTATCTTCAGCTTCTTCAATGCTCAGTTTATTTTCATATAAATCAATACTATTTTGACGGCTTTTAGACTTGCCATCAATATCTTCAAAGATCGGTTCTACATCTATCGGTGTACTTGAAATGTTCCTGTTGTGAACATCATCCTCATTATCGAAATCCCTTTCAGAGTTCGATGATATCGATGAGTTGTCATTATTATCTTCATTTATTTGTTTCATAATCCAGTTTATTTCATTATTAATTAAAGCTTTCGGGAAATCGAAATTAAACTCTTTACATTTTTCCAAGTTTTTTTCAATAACCTTTTGATTTTCTAGGATTCTTTTATGTATATCAGTTTTGGAAAGAAAGAGAGAATCATTCATTTCATCTTCATCTTCATTCTCACTTTCATCTCTTGGCCATTCTTCACTAAAGCTAGAGAACTTATTTGCTAATTTACAGTTTTCTAATAGTTTGCATAAGGTCATTAGGAAATAAAAAATACCGTCAGTATTGTAAGGGGGTTCTAGTAATAATTCGTCTAGTCTATCTCTCAATCTTGCGTATTTATTTTTGATCATTAGCCCCCACAAAGAAGTTATCACATACATCGGTGTATGGGTTCTGGAACCCGATCTCCAAATAGGAGCTGATATTTTCCTCGTGTTACTTAAATTGAACGTGTTACTATGTTTGTTAATTATGAAGAATGACGATAACCAATCAAAAAACTTTTCATCTTTAAATAATTTAATATCGCTGTTATCGTAGGCCGTTTCCTCTCTTTGTCTATTCAAAATCTCAATTCCCAATGGCCACAATGAACGAATATCAACTTTAGGCAATCTAATTAGTAAACAAAAAATTTTATATGCTAGTCCCCAATTACGTCTAAGAATATTTATGTGCAATAAAGTTTTAAGGTTGTTTATATGATGATTTATTAAGCTGGCATTGTCGCTCTTCATGAAACCAGAAGAGTATGTTTCTAACGGCGCATGTGGGAGGACTTCAAGCCCTTTAGTCTTGATCAAAAAATTCGCCTTAGTCCAAGTGCTTGACAGATCAAATGAATTCAAAAACCTATCAAGTTGGTTATCCATCTTCAGTTCATTCTCCGAGCCATCACTCTCAATTTCATCATTTTCATTAGATTTGATCAATTCATCCATTAGGCCTTCCGTTATATTTCCTTGTCCATGTACACCATGCCTCTTGCCAGATTTTTGTCTATCCAAATTTAAATTTTTATAAAGATGCCATATTTCGAAGGTTTCCTCAGGCCGCAACCTTTCATTGAGTTCTTCATGTATTTTCTTAAGTATTTTCTTTTTTGTTTTAGCTTTATTCAACCTTTGTCTTTGTTTCAAAGGTAAATCTTCATTACTTATTATTTCCTGAAATTTCTGTACTTCAATGTATTTGAGTAATAGCCTTTGAAGCTGTTTATGTTTCTTTTTAGAATTTGAATATTTAGGATCAGATAGAAAGTCTTCAAACATTTTCAGTATTATATCATATTTGCGTGGCTAATCTATATATAAGAGAAAAAAAAATTTAACTTAGGCTTATCTGTTTAGCATAATTTAAAAAAAACTGAGATGCGAAAAAAAAGTTCATAAAAAAACATTCATTTAATTATAACCACTCTATAATAAACTATTTACAATACATTTTCTGTTTATAGAGTACTATACATCATAATATCATAATGTTTGAACGCATATATGGGTTAACTAGTTTAGAAACCCATACCTGGCATACCACCCATACCTGGCATACCACCAGCTGGAGGTGCAGGTGAACCCTTTGGCTCTGGAGCTTCGACAATAGCACATTCAGTAGTGGCTAATAAAGAAGCAACACCACTGGCATCGACCAAACCGTTCTTAACGACCTTGAATGGATCAATAATACCAGCAGCGATCATGTCAGTGAACTCACCCTTTGAAGAATCATAACCGTGGTTGAAATTTGGTTCATCGTAGATCTTACCAACAATGACAGCACCTTCTTCACCAGCGTTTTCGATAATTCTTCTGGCAGGCTTAGTAATAGCAGACTTGATGATGTCAACACCTAATTTTTGATCAAAGTTGGCAGCAGTGGCCTTGACTTCATCTAAGATTCTCGAGGCCTTGATTAAAGCAGTACCACCACCTGGTAAGATACCTTCTTGAACAGCAGCTCTAGTAGCATTCAAAGCATCGTCATAACGATCCTTCTTTTCACTGACTTCAACTTCGGAAGTACCACCAACTCTAACGACAGCAACACCCCCGGATAATTTAGCTAATCTTTCTTGTAACTTTTCCTTTTCGTATTCGGAAGTTTGAGAATCATTGACACTGGTTCTGATTTGTTCACATCTGGCTTGAATGTTTTCCTTTGAACCTTCACCGTTTAAGACAACAGTGTCTTCCTTGGTAATGGTGATAGAACCACAAGAACCTAATAAGTCGATAGTAGCATTTTCAGGCTTTAAATCTAATTCTTCAGTGAAAACAGTACCACCTGATAAAATAGCAATATCACCTAAAGTGTTCTTTCTGTTATCACCGAAACCTGGGGCCTTAACAGCACAAACTTGGACTTGTCCTCTCAACTTGTTCAAAATACAAGCGGCTAAAGCTTCACCGTCAATGTCTTCGGCAATGATCAATAAAGGTCTTCTTTGTTGGTTAGATAATTCCAAAGAAGGTAAGATATCTTGAATAGAAGAAATCTTCTTTTCAGACAACAAGATCAATGGGTTTTCAAATTCAACCTTACCAGATTTGGTGTTGGTGATGAAGTAAGGAGAAATGAAACCACGGTCGAATCTCATACCTTCGGTAACTTCCAATTCATCTTCTAATGTCTTACCTTCCTTGACGGTAATGACACCTTCCTTTCCGACCTTTTCCATAGCAGAGGCCAATAAGTCACCAATGTGCTTGTCACCATTAGCAGAAATGGTGGCAACCTGAGCAATTTCTTCAGAAGTGGTGATTTCCTTCTTGTTACTTTGCAAAAAGTTAACTACGGCTTCAACGGCAGCTTGCGATCCTCTTCTTAAATCCATTGGATTACAACCAGCCGCAACATTCTTGACTGATTCGGTGAAAATAGATCTACCTAAGACAGTGGCAGAGGTAGTACCATCACCGGCTGATTCGTTGGTCTTCGAAGCAACTTCTTGTAATAACTTGGCCCCCATGTCTTCGAATTTGTCTTGTAAAGTGACCGATTTAGCAACGGTAACACCATCCTTAGTGATCTTTGGTGATCCAAATTGTTGTTCAATTAAAACATTTCTACCTTTTGGTCCTAAAGTGACAGAAACAGCATCCGCTAAAGTGTTAACACCCTTTAATAAGGCAGCTCTACCTTCAACTCCGAATTTTAATTCTTTATGAGAAAGGTTACGAGCAAGAGAAATAGTGGTTTTCTTTAAAGAAGGACGAGCAGATCTCAACATCTTGGTTTTTTATTGGTTATCAACTTTAACTGTTAGATTGATTATCGTAGTTGATAGAAGTTATAATTTTTCAATTTATATTCTTGACTTCTGAATTCTTCCAGAAAATTCTTTTTGCCGGGGAGAGCGTGCAAATCACAAATCCGAGATTAGGCTGCAATTTTCAGCAGGTTCTTATGTACTTACAAATGGATTCATATAGCATATATTATAGTATTAGGCAGGAAATAAAGATTTCATTAGGTAGTATGGGGAAAAACGTATAGAGTATAAATTTAAACGTATGTAATTTTTAATATGCGCTAAAAAGCGATTTTATGGCAGGATTATAAGACAAATGCGTACTTTGACTTTGCTCTAATACGGGCACCATATCTATAGAACAAAAATGGAACTGGAATCAACACAGCAGCGAAACAGCCTAACAAGGTACTGGCCCATTTGATTTCCATGTTGACGAACATTTGCTGGGCAAAAAGTGGGAAAGCAGCAGCAAAAGCAGATCTCAAGAAGGTATTTGCAGCTAATGCAGAAGCTGCGAGGAATAAGTAACAGTCAATGATGTAGTTGATGGAAGGTAAGAAAATAACAATCAAACCAAAACCGATTGGGGCAGCACCGATTGTTGGAACGATCCAGTGGACCTTATCGGCATAATCACCGGCCCAGCCTAACCAGAACAAACCAGCAGAGAAGAAGAAGGAACCTATCATCATAGCTGGCAATCTTTCTTCAGGAACTGGTTTACCACCATTAGCTTCCATTATTCTTGTATATCTTCTATCGAAGTATATACACACCAATCCACCTATGATGATACCAATCAACATAGAAAGATAAGGTAATTCACCAACACCTTGGACAAAATGATATTGACCGATGAAGATTAATGGAACAGCTGTTAAAAACAAATACAACAAACCGTAAATGAATGCATTGTAAATACTGATTAATAATAAGATAGGCTCTCTGAACAACATAACTATTGGTCTGGTGACGTTGTTTTCACAAATTTCTTTCAAAGACAATGAAACTTCATCATGAGGAGCTTGAATACCCCAGTTACCCGTTCTTCTTCTTAAAGTTTCAGCCTTCTTGACCAAAATTAGTGGATGGTGTGTTTCTTCATAGAAGAAGACAACTCCAATCAATGCAAGGGCCCCGACCAAACCACTGAAGTACGAGGTCCATCTCCAGCCTAATGCATCATTCTTAACAGTAAAGCCACCGAAAATTGGTGCCATCATTGGACCACCAAATAAAACCATAGCAAAAAGAGCCATAGCTTGACCTCTTTGTGCAGCACCATACATATCAGCGATTGAAGCTGGAACAACGACCAAAGGAGCAGCACCAATGAAACCAGCAAAAAATCTACAAATCATGATAGTTTGGATATCCTTTCCAGTTGCAACTGCAAATGAAAAGCAGACGTAACCGAGACAAGAAGGCACCATGACGATTTTTCTACCGTAAAGTTCAGACAAAGGACCCCATATGATAGGACCGGCAGCAAAACCCAACACGAACAATGAGACCCCTAATGCAGCGACCGAAGTTCCAATGTGATAAATTGTCTTAAGGTCTTGATTAGCTTCGGCAAACATAGCTGAACCGAGGGAGACCGAAAGAGCAGTAAGCCCGACGACCATACAGGTAAATATTTTTTTGATTTGCGGCCAATTATGCGGGTGAATAGGATCATCTGGTCCATTAAACGAAACCACATATGGATCTCTAGAACCTAACGGTGGAGGATAATCTTTACCCCCACCCATAGGCGGCAAAGGCTCATCAGTATCGTTGGCTCTACTTATCAAACTTCCCGCACCTGTCAAGCGATGACTCAATGTTCTTGATGCTTCAGAATTAGATTCATAACGACTCAATTCATCTCCTCCGCGTGGAATACCTTCATCTTTACCATTCTCTAAATCTCCAGTGAATGCTTCTGGTTCTTGTCCTAATTGGTCTTCCGAATTTCCATCTCTATCCACAGGTGTAATAAACGACGAAGAAGCGCTTTCTAGAGCAGCATTTGCTTCCTTGTTCTGATTATCAGTTGGGACTGACATATTAAACTTTATGTATATACGTGTAAAATATGTTAATGTCTAGACTTAAAAAAAGTATTACTCATTTATTGAAGAGATGCCGTTTATTTAAATAAATTTCTGTTGAGAAAATTAATGAATTAGGAAATGTCAAATTTTGAAAATACGAATTCGATTACTAACTCTTTGTTTGAACCGGGAAAAACTATTTTTTAATGCCGAACACCATTATTTCCATAAATAGTTAGTTAACCTTATCGATTTACAATCACATTAACAATTGCATTCTTGGTCACAGTCTGTGTCCTAGTTGCAGCAAGAATTGTTCGCAAAGACCAAGCTACACTCTTTGTGACACAATTCCCCACATATTAATAATGAACAGCAATAAACCTTACCATGTTGAATTGCTATATGTCAAAGACAAGGTTATTGGGATTATGACTGTAGGCTAACTAGTGTGCTAGAGTAGAAGAAGGCTGTAGCGCAAATAAATGAAAAAAAACCTATGTAAAGCCGTATTGTTTACATCGGTGAAAATTAGCTCCGATGCTCGGATGATGATAGTTTCGTAGCACTTATTTTATCCGTTCCGATTTTTTTCACAGGGAACGTTCCTGTAAATTCAAATAGCGGTGTATGGGTGTTTGTAACAGATGCAAGGATGTTTTGTAATGACCTTTACACGCCGGTATCAAGTGAGCATTATCAGTGGAGCTATAACATAGACAAGGAAGTAGAAAGTTGCAATAGTAGTTGACAGACTAGGATGGAAAGCGATGGATTCGTACCGATAACAGCTATCTTCTATGCGGTATTTCATCCCACAGAGGGGACTAAAGTGTTGAATCAAGTTCCTGAGGGTTCAATTGGGAACTCTAGTACGAGCGATTCAAGTGGTACTCTTTTCAATTTCGACACGATCAAGAATTACATTATACCGAAGCCTAAGTTGTGTAATAAGTTGATTTCTATAAAGATAGATCGATTCAAGGTTTTGGGGTATCCGGTGAATATTGAAAACGAGAAGTATTCCAGAAACTCGTTTAATTTTAACTTTTGCTTTGTGTTCCCGTACAACAGCGATACGACCCCGTACGAGTCTGCCATTAAGCGGATGGGAAAGATGTTTCAGGTATTGGAAGAGCAAAGTTTTATATTGTCAAAATTGGACAAAATTGGGTCATTTTTTAAGAACAAGGATGAGTATCCAATCGAGAATGTGCTAATGATCAACGAGTTTATTACTCCGGGATTTAGAAGGACGCAGAAGGTTAACTTGTCGTCAATCGAATCATTAATACATCAGATTTATCAGGACTTGAATAATTATTCGGAATGTTGTATACCCCTAGATAGCGCTAACTCAGTGGATATTAAATTGTTTCCTATATTACCACCACCCGTTAACACAAAGGCATACCAAGTGCCAATTCTAACCGTCAAGCTAAGTCTGTTGGTTGATATAAACTGGGATCCGACAATGCTTAAAATATTACCGTATATTGATGGGCTCAATTCTATCAAAAGGATAAGTCAGCTTGCGGATGCAGATTATCTTCTTACCAAACAATGTATTCAACATTTGATGCACTATAAATGCATATACATGATTGATATATTTCAATTCAGTAATATTTACGCTCCCACGAACCATATAGGAAACTTCTTGACGTTGAATAATATGGCTGAAGAATGTCAAGCATATATAATAACCAACGAAACTAATACATTGAATGAATTGCCACTAAATGACGATCTGGACATACAATCATCCACATTTCCCAATTCAGCATCGCCCGCAAGCAAGCACTCGTCGATATTTAAAGCATCAAAGAAGAAATTCAGCGAGAAGACCACTGTTGTTCCTTCAAAAGCGACACTATTCTATCTATATAGGTCATTGAATCAAGGGCAGACAGTAAAGGAGTGGTATATGCAACATCGCAAATACCTCAACAATATAGATGTACGAAGATTTATTAATTTTGGGATAATTCGAGGCATCATCTATCGAGTTCATTCGTATCCTGTTTTAAACTCGCTAACAAAATCGTTCGAGAACAAAAATGACAATGAGCTAGACAAAATAATAGACCTTTTCAAAGCGAAATCAGACTCGAGGGTCTACCCCATGGACGACACACCAGCAAATAAATCGCTATTGAAGAGCATAGTGCATGAGACCAATTTGAAAACTGGAAATATCAAGTCTAATAGAAGTGTTAGTTTTAATTACGAAGTAAACAAATCAACATATATACTAGACGACGGAAACGACAGTGATAATGAGCCACAGTCGTCCGATTCTGATTCAGTAAATTCAGACGTATCAAACGAAGAAGACGTACAAGACAACGTTGACGAGTTAGACAAGGCGGAAGGAGATGATATAATTGTGCTCATTAAATTATTAAAGGGCTTTCAGAATTTTGATTCGATCAACACCGAAATGCAAAAGTCAAGGTTCGAAATCGAAACACTACTAAGGAAGTTGGGACCACATAATAACATCCATAGTTGATAAGTGATAGAGACTATTAAGCCGGGTAACACTATGTTGATGTTTTGTGTTACAGGTCAATTTTGAATCGCGACAATTGTTTATTTTGTTTATTTTGTTTGTTTTGTTGTTCCTCAGGGCAATTTATCGTTTTTTCGTATACAGAAGTAACAATTAAAGTCAATTAAACATGTCAGGTAAAGGGAAAGTTCATGGTGGTAAAGGAAAATCGTCGGAAACGGCCAAGTCGACCACATCGCACTCCGCTAGAGCAGGATTGCAATTCCCAGTGGGTAGAATCAAGAGATACTTGAAGAGAACTGCGCAAAACAAAATCAGAGTTGGGTCCAAGTCTGCTATCTACTTGACCGCCGTGTTGGAATATTTAACCGCCGAAGTGTTGGAATTGGCCGGTAATGCCGCCAAGGACTTGAAGGTGAAGAGAATCACCCCAAGACACTTGCAATTGGCTATTAGAGGAGATGAAGAATTAGATAACTTGATTAAGGCCACTATTGCTTTCGGTGGTGTATTGCCACATATTAACAAGGCCTTATTATTGAAGGTTGAAAAGAAGAAGCAAAAATAATTGTGATGTTGCCACCAATTTCGCAGGGTGCTTTTTTATTTCGTTAGTTTTTGTATTATATTACTTTGAGTTTTCTTCGCTAGAAGGACACCCTCAATCAATATTTGTATACTATTAATATATTGTATCGTACGTACTGCACTGTAAGGGATGTAAGCATCTATGCGACCTCGTAAGTGGGGCCACCCCAATACCAAGAACGCCCGGAGTTATTCTACACCAATACGACCGATAGGATCCAGTAGGAACCAACAAGTACCCCCTATGGTACCCCCTTCCGTCCAATTGCGCAATGCCAATGTTTTCTATGTACAAGTGCTACTTACCAGATGCATCTGCTGGCTTGTTGGCGAGCTTTGATTTCACGTCTTCTAATTCTTGTTGGAGGGCAACAATCTCGTCCTGGAGGAACGTTATGTCGTCCTGGACATTGGATTTCTCGAGATTCGTCTTCTTTCTGCTTCGGTACGATTCGTAGAATATTAACGACCCCGCCACCGAAAATACAAACATCTCACTCAAAAAGTTGGCACCCTTCTCAATGGCCTTGTTGTCGTTCAACGGACGAATCTTGATCTTCTTTTCCCCCAATAAGTTCATTCTCATCTTCAAATCGGCGTGGTGCATCATTTGGGCAAATCGTATACAATTGCGACGAAAGTGTTCATGTTCCTTTGCCTGGGCCTTGATCGAGTTAGATATCGGCTTCGCCACCGTCCGAATCAACAAAGATGTGAATTTCAACGTAAGCCCACTCATCTTGTATGTCTAGTGTGCTCACTTCTTTCCACTCTCGCTTCGTCTGCACTCTCACTTTACTCACTCAGATCTACTCAATCGCACTCTCACTCTCATTCATATCTACGTGCGCAACTCGCTCAATTTGCCCTATCTACACTACTACTGCTGTTTATAGACACTTACACCACTGCTATTGTTCACTATTGCTTCCGTCCGCCTATCAATAGGAGGCATAATCACATGATGCATACTATAACAATAGTACCAGTCATTAATCGACCTGCTCGTAAACTCGCGGTCGCCCTTCTGCCGGCATATTTTTCTTGACTATGGAGTTTAGTACCACCGTTGCTAAACCTATTGGGAAATGTGTAAAAAAGGTAGTACCATATTCCCCAGATTTGAAAATTTGTGGGTAAGGAGTTTTGAGTGATTAGAAAAAGTTGGTCGTTGGAGCCCACAAAAAGGTGGGGAAGGAGGGGAATGTAAACCCGAAGACCAATTGTATATAAAGTAAGTAAGCGCCGGGAGAAATTAACGACAAGGATAATAGCAAATATATAGGGAATAGAGATCAAATATACACCTATACAATGACACCACATTCTACACATGTAAAGTTGGACCATGAGGGCATAATCCAACCCCCAGCAGAATTTAAGGAGAGATCTAAGTCGAAGCCAAACTTGGCGGACTTTGAGACGTACAGCAAGATGTACAAGGAGTCAATTGAGGACCCCAGCAAATTTTTTGGCGAACAGGCGTTAGAACATTTGAGTTGGGACCGTCCTTTCGACCACGCTAGGTACCCAAAGAGTAGTGAGCAGGACTTTGCTAATGGGGACATTGCATCTTGGTTCGTGAACGGTCAGTTGAATGCGTCGTATAATGCGGTGGACAGATGGGCTATCAAGAACCCTGACAAGCCAGCGATAATCTACGAGGCAGACGAAGAAAACGAGGGTCGTATCATCACATATGGTCAGTTGTTGAAGGATGTGTGTAAGTTAGCACAGTGCTTGACCAAGTTGGGTATTAGAAAGGGAGACTCAGTGGCAGTATACTTGCCTATGATCCCTGAGGCCATAGTAACATTATTGGCAATTGTGAGAATTGGAGCTGTTCATTCGGTTGTGTTTGCTGGGTTTTCGTCTAGTTCATTAAAGGACCGTATCTTGGACGCCAACTCGAAGATCGTCATTACTACTGACGAGTCCAAGAGAGGTGGAAAGACTATCGAAACCAAGAAGATTGTGGACGATGCTTTGAAGAGCTGTCCTGATGTGACCAACGTCTTGCTTTTCAAGAGAACCGGCAATTCCCACATTCCTTTCACCGAGGGCAGGGATTTGTGGTGGCATGAAGAGTTAGCCAAGTACTCTCCATACTCGCCCCCAGTTCCAGTTAACTCGGAAGACCCATTATTCTTGTTGTATACTTCAGGTTCGACAGGTAAACCAAAGGGTATCCAGCATTCGACCGCTGGGTATTTATTGGGGGCCGCCATGACTTCAAAGTACACATTTGACGTGCATGAAGACGATATTCTTTTTACTGCCGGGGATGTGGGTTGGATTACTGGACACACCTACGTTGTATACGGACCCTTGTTATGCGGTGCTACCACTGTGGTGTTTGAAGGTACCCCAGCATATCCTAACTACTCGAGATATTGGGAGATTGTTGACAAGTACAAGGTCAACCAATTCTACGTTGCTCCAACTGCTTTGAGATTATTAAAGAGGGCCGGTACCAAGTATATCGAAAACTATAAGTTGGATTCTTTGAGGGTTTTAGGTTCTGTTGGTGAACCAATTGCTGCGGAAATCTGGCATTGGTATAACGACAACATTGGTAGACACAAGTGCCATATTGTTGATACCTACTGGCAAACTGAATCTGGATCACATATGTTGGCTCCATTGGCAGGTATTACTCCAACAAAGCCAGGATCTGCTTCATTGCCATGTTTTGGTATTGATGCCAAGATCTTGGACCCTGTTAGTGGTAAAGAATTGAAAGAAAACGATGTCGAAGGGGTTCTTTGTGTCAAGTCGTGCTGGCCATCGATTACCAGAGGTATTTACAGTGACTATGCGAGATTTATTGAAACATACTTGAAGCCATATCCAAATCATTATTTCTCTGGAGATGGAGCTGCAAGAGATGTTGATGGATTTTACTGGATTTTAGGTAGAGTCGATGATGTTGTTAATGTCTCTGGTCACAGATTATCCACGGCAGAAATTGAAGCCGCATTGATCTTACATGATTCTGTCGCTGAGTGTGCAGTTGTTGGATACGCAGATGACTTAACCGGTCAAGCAGTCGCTGCTTACGTTTCTTTGAAGGCTAATGTTTCTGAAGACCTCGATGTCATCAAGAAAGAATTGATTTTAACTGTTCGTAAGGAAATTGGTCCATTCGCTACTCCAAAGACGATCTTATTAGTAGATGATTTACCTAAGACTAGATCTGGTAAGATCATGAGAAGAATCTTGAGAAAGGTTTTGGCTGGTGAGGAAGAACAATTGGGTGATATTTCGACTTTATCAAATCCTGGTGTTGTTTCACAAATTATTGATGTTGTTAAGGCTACTCGTAAGTAAGTGCCTAGCCTTAGACTTTATGAGACATGTCCCATATTTAAGTTATTAAAGAAGTTTGTTTTTATACTATTATTTATATATGTTATCAGAAATCAAGTTATATCTATAAATAATTTGTAGATTCCTCGAGTAATCATAGTTAATATTTACAGGCTTTCGCCTAACTTTACTCGAATTGAGTTTATACATGCATTATTTCTTTTTTAATCGTCTATGCGTTGGTGGCGTAAATCTGAAAGAATAATTCAACAATTGGAAACGAATAATAATCTTAAAACCTTATTATCCTGTTCATTTATAAGTCGTTTCGTGATCTTGCATCAGTTCGAATAATGATGCTGCCTCTGGTTTCTTTGAGACGATATTAGGAGTAATCCCTTTACTGATCAAGTAATCTTCAGTTGTAGGACCGATTGAACCTATATAGAAATCATTAGTCAAATTTTCAATCAGTTTTAGTTTATCAATTATTAATTCGGTCCCTTGAGGACTAAAAAAGATTATCCACTGCTTTCCATTATTATTCGTCTCATCTAACAATGAAAGTTGCTTATTAAAATTTTCACCAATGTCTTCTCTTAAGTCTGTCTTATAGATCACCTTCTCCGTGATATTAATATTGGCTAACTTCAAGTTCTTTGGTATAATATCTTTTCTAATTTCTCCAGTAAAAAACACTATTTCTTCTTCAGAATCAATTTCGTCGATAATAATTTTAGATAATATCAGACCATTACCAGCATCGCTACCACCTTTAACATTTTTGAACCCTGCTTCACTTAAAATTTTGGCCGTTGCAGGCCCCACTGTGTAACCAATTTTTGGAAAATATTTTGTTTAATATTTTCATCGCTGATTTCTTGTATACATTCGTTGAAGCATTCGACTGCCCTTTGACTTGTAATTATAAAATTTCGTATATTTGAAAACTCCTTACTTTTTAAATATTGTATGGTTGAATTTCTGTCATAGTGATTGTGTTCGAGCAAAGGTATGAAAACAGGATTATATCCCAGAGCTTTCAATTTATCATTATATGGATCCTTCGGAACGGTTTGGTTCTTAAGTAGCAACACATTTACCATCTTACTTGCTAAATATGTAATTATTTCTAGATAAGAATTGATTTTAAATACAGATTATATTATTGGAAGAAATATTTCAGATCACTAAATCTACAGATACTATCGCGAAATCAATGTACAGAAGAAGGAAATTATATTTATATTTATAGTATAACAAGAAATGAAAAGCAAAGCCAAAATTAAAAAAAACACACATTATAATTAATAAATACTACAAATTCCCTACTCGTTGATCATCCTACGAGTTGCCAGCAACACACTTTCTACTCCTCTTGTATTTGATGAGTGAAAAAGCTTACCAATTCTTTCATTTCCAACCATTAAATTCCCGATTGTTGTTCTAATGTAATGTTTAAAGTTCTCAATAAATTCAAACTTATAACCCATGATGTATACGAAGATGAACAATGCCATGATACAGACTAACGCTGGGAACCAGAAAAATAATAACATTTTATCATTTTCAACAGTCTTACGAGGATGATTGATATAAGATATAACCATATCATCTGAAGAATCTGAAGACACACCAGCATCTTCTTGATTATCATCACGCGAAGATCCAGTAAGTACCTTAGAACTATCACCAGCATTTGTATTAACATCCACAGTGTTAAGACTTCTTTCGGCAGAGGATTTAGGTTTCAGGTGGAATGAAGAAGGTCCGAAAGGAAACAAATCATCATAAGATGGTAATTGACTATCACTTTCATCATTACTAAAGACATTCTTGACCTTTTGCCATAATCCTGCTGAATTCAGAGACAAGGTTTCCTCGTCATCGTCATCATTATTATTCGATAATGGAGGTAAAATTGTTGAATTTGAAGTTAACGATTGAGTGTCATCTAAAACATCGCCAACATTACCTATATTTAACTCTCTGTTATCACAAATGTCACTATTTGCATCCATTTCATCTTCGTAGTCGTCCTCACTTTCGCTTTCATCATAATCATCATTATAAAATCTGTCATCATCATTGGATTCAAATTCTGAATCAGCAAACTCAGAGTTTGCTAAATCAGATTCTGGCTGGGAAAACTCACCATTACTGTTGTTTTCACTTGATCTAGAATTCAATTCCTCTCTCATGAGATATCTATCACCACTTTCAAGTTTTGGATCACTTGAATGGTTGACCGTATTCTCCATGACCATCTTTGAAACATGGCATCCAAAGTTCATAGCAAACATTGAATTCAAAGAATCCAAACTCATTGATTTAGCCAATTTGCTATCTTTTGAAAGAAACTTAGAGAAATCATCATCAGAATTTTCATTATCGTGGTCTTCTAAACTGTTGAAAACATCCAATACATTTGGATCGCAATAATCCTTCAATAACTTGTCATTTGATAATTTCAAATTCCAATTGCTCTTACATGCAACAAAAACTTGAATTAAATCTCTGTGACCACACATTGAAGCTAAGAAAAGTGGCGTTAAGCCTTGGTTATCCTTAACATCAATCTTGCAGCCATGGGTTATCAAAAATTTAATCAATTGACTATATTTCTTTAATGATGCCAAATGCAATAAGGTTTGACCTTGTCCATTACATAATTGCCAGTTTGGTATTATAATTGGGCAATTTGGCAAATCGACCAATGAAAGGAAATTAATCAAGATTTCTTCAGTAGACAAATCGGATTTAGTTAATTGTAGAACAGTTTTATGTGCACTATCAAACCATTCAATATTAGCCTGATTCATATTTTGGTGGTTAACAGGAGATGTGGTGTTAGAATTTGCACCGCTAATATTTGAGTTATCGGTGCCAACAATTCTTTTAGCGATGTTCTTCGCATCCTCCAACTTACCGTTCATTTTCAATCCGACTATCTGTAAGGCTAATTCAATTAGTTGTTTGTCTGTATCATCAGTGTAGGTGAAGATTTGTTGCTGAGGTGGTCCACCAATCATTGTATTTTCATGGTCTTCAAAGCTAACCAAGACTTGGCCTGGTTGTGATGCAGGCGGTAAATACGTCACTAAAGTCGTTTCTGACCAGCAGTGAGTAGCCAAAGCCTGATTTGCTCCAAACTTGACGGCCAATCCTTGGCGGAAATTAAACCCTAATAAAGTGATTTCTATTCCGCCTCTAATTGGTCCTTGTGCTGGGATAATTCTTTGAATTGATGGTAATCTAGGTTGTTGAGTGTTCAACTGAGGATGACTTAATGGGGATAATCCAAATGATGGCTGGCCGAGTGAAGGCATTTGATTAGGCTTCGTCAACATATTGCTAGTGGAAGTATTGGTATCGCTATTACTCAAGGGTGACAAAGCATTAACACTGCCGTTAAACATAGGATTAGTTTGAGTATTGAATGAATCATCGACAGACAATTTTTTCCTCTTCAAGTTTCTTCCATCTGAAAATGTATTAGTGTCAGTATTAGTTTGGGCTTCAGAATTAGATTCATCTATTGAGTTGGAAGATAATTGGCGGAAAGAATTCAATAATACGTCATTATCAGATTCTCTAGGCAGTCTTTGTTGTCTTTGTTGCAGTTGATCTCCGGCCATTTGTTGTAAATTAGTCGACGAGCCACAAATAGAATTAGGCAAAGAGTCTTCATTTACTTTATTTTTGGAAGCAGCTGTAGTTTTCTTTCTATCCATTATCATTATAGTTGATGAAATTTGTTTTGCCACCACCTTTCCTTCATGATTTTTCACTACAAACAATAACTTGAATCCTTGAGATTCTTTATGATGTCTGCAGTAACAAATTATTCTGGCTGAAAGGTCCATTGATTTTGATAAATCATTATTTAAACCGTTAGGAGGAGGAAAGGAAACGATTTCTTTACAATTGAAAATAATGGCCTTCTTCATCATTTTATCATCAGCCCACGAGCTGGAACAACTTTTACCGTTTTCTTTAGTGTTGCTATTATCATTATTGGTATCATTGTTTCCGTCAGATTCGTTTCCATTAATTCCAGACTTTCTTCTCGATGCCCGCTTTTGCTCACGTTTGATACACCTGGAACAAATATTGCATGATTTTTTATAGTCTGACGTTAATACAAATGTGTCTAAGTATAAGAGGCTTTCTTTCAAGGTAGGTGCCAATGTATCCACATCGTTGGAAAGACAGAATTTATTCTTGGATATTAAATCTTGGGGTATGTGCAAAAGAACGTGTGGAGGTGGAGGACTTAATCCAAACTTAAACTTTATCTGCGTTTCCACCCGTGAGTAGCTGGGCAAGTTGGTTAATGTTAATTTGTACGGTAACGAATCCATAGCTTGCTGCGAAAAATCAAGATACGATGGATCTGGAACATCCACGGACTTCGGACACAGCTTCATATTGGCAGTACCAAACTTCAACTTTGATAACTCATCTCTCACAATATCATAATCCGAAAGCTGTAACTTGTTTGCAATGTTCATCTGCGATGAATCATTGGGACTGGTATAAGAGCTATTGGCCCCATTGTATCCGATGTTATCAAGATACATGTAGTCATTATTAGGAGTCGTCATTTGCGACTGATTCAACAAATAATTTGTGTTTCCGCTTCCGCCCCCGTAGTTACTTCCGTCATTATTACTGTCGTTGCTGTCGTTATTATTGTAAAAATCGTTCAACAAGTCGTCCGTTTCGACCTTTATACTGTTGCTATCAGGTAAATTTATCGATTCGTACACCCGCTGGTCCAAAAACTCGTCTAAAATGTCCTGTTCATTATCATTTGGCATATCACTCACAAAATTGTGTTCCAACAACTGATCGTTGGTTATCGATGACATGTCGCTAGTTCCTGGGCGGCTAAATTCTAAATGCGTTTCTAGTCTTGAAATGTAAATATCCCGATATAAGTTTCCTGGTTTGTATTCTTAATCTACTAAAAGTCCAATTTTCAATCAATATCCCTTTGTATCTGATGAAAAAAGTCTCTTTTTAATAAACGTATACACATTTGCCTACAATGTGAGTAAAATTCTGCCAGAGCCTGATAATATTACATGCAGGACACTAATAAGCATTCACGAACTTAAAGCACTACATATAAGGAGGCTTCTCCTAAGTATTAGGGCAAACTATATACAGGAAATACACTCAAGCAAATTGTTGGGATAGAATTTGTTGGGAGCGTCAGACGACGAATATAGCGGGGGATAGAAGGAAGAAAGAAAAAAAAGGAGATGACACAAAACTATGATAGATACGTACACCTACAAGATATGTACACCGAAATTGATGAATTGGTTTTGACACGACATGTGAGCTTCCAGATGCCAATTTACCAGAATATTGGAACACTAATAGAGAAGTGAAAGAAATAAGTAAGCAGAAAAACAGACGGAGATGCCACTGGACACATTGTATGTGACTGGATTTTCAAAGGAATCGAAGGCTGCTGATTTGGCGCCAGATTTTGAAAAGTATGTATGAATATTGGTTGATCTTTTTTATTATTTTCATATCTCTAGCCGATTGGCAGCATACGGGTGCAAATGGTGCAAAGGGCATATATTACGGAGAGCTATGCCTAGAGATGCTGCTGATCGGCACAAGTTTGGATTCGTGAGAGTCCTGTATTAATTTTGCTAGTATGAATTGAGACTCGTTGATTCCATTCGATGAGAGTCAGGTATCCTTTATCTTCCTATTTCCTGTTAATTTTTTCCTGAATCAGTCCCTGAATCCTTCCCTGAATCCTACTTCATGAATTATATCTCCTTTCTCCTATTTTACATTTCCTGGATCTCCTAGCTACTCCCGAGAATAATAATCAAGAATAATACAAAAGAGAATAACACTGACATCCAGATATGGTGATTTAGTAAGATTAGACATCCCTCCACCAAGAACTGACGACGGAGAAAAATATGCGTTTGTGGAATACAAAAATCCTGAAGATTGTGAAAAGGCACTAGAATTGCACGGTAAACAATTACCTTACTCGTTGAAAGATGGATTGGTTGTTCAATTAGCCAGATCCGATCCATATTCCGCAAGGAGAGGTGGTTTCAGAGGTAGAGGCGGATACGGATATGCCCCAAGAGGTGGGTATGGCTACGCCCCAAGAGGTGGATATGGCTACTCCTCAAGAGGTGGCTACGGTTACACTTCAAGAGGTGGCTATAGAGGCGGTAGAGGTGGATACAATGATTACGGTGGCTACAATGACTACGGTGGCTACGATAGCGGCTATGGATATGGTGGTGGCTACAACGGTAGTTATAGAGGTGGTTACTATAGTGACTCAAGAGGTTATTATGGTAGCTCACGAGGTAGTTATCGTGGTGGAAGAGGTGGTTATTATGATCGAGATTACGGTTATCGAAGCTATAATGATCGAGACTACCAAAATCGTGAATATGGTGACGGTGACTACAGAGCCAGCCATGATGGGCAATTGAGTGAGCCTACATACGATAATAGATCAGCAGACTATAAGGACGATAGTGCAGGTCGTAGTAATGATATACCACGCGAAGGTGGTAGTCATTCAAGGCCATCTTCAAGATCTCCAATCAGAAGAGAAAGGTCAAGATCTCCTGTTAGAAAAGAAAAGTCAAGGTCCCCAGTTAGAAAAGAACGGTCTAGATCTCCAATAAGGCAAGAAAGATCAAAATCTCCAATAAGGCAAGAAAGATCTAAATCTCCTCAATGAATGTAAATGTTTCTCTATCCATATAGTATATAGTATAATAAAACATTCGTTTGCGCTACCCCTTCAGATTATTGTATTACAGCTCATTATATTTATTTGGCTTACTTGGGTCGTTCTTTTAATAAATATTTATTCAATATAAGATTTATAGATAGTTCACTTGTTTTAATAAATTATCCTACGTTAAACACTACAATATTACCACCGACCTGTGATCAACAAATTAATTTTTGCTTAACAGATAATATTAGTGTTTAACAAACCCAAATATAATATTAAATAAATCATATGCATAATAGGATAGCTATTAATCTTGAAAGGTAACAGCCTGAGGAAGGGTCGTCTTGACCGAGTTTCTAATATTTGATTCTCTTAATGTCAATAAAATGCAATTCATCACTAAACTATCTAAGTCAATTGATAAAGTGCTGTTTGGATCCTCGATTAAATTTGAATTATCTTGGTATATTTCGACCCTGCCTACATTTGAAAACTTCTTCGGAATAAATTTGACAGAGTCATCATCATAAGCTATGGAGTCTTTAAAAAGTCCAAATGGAGGCATCGATCTGGATAGAAATGCATGTTTGCCTGATATTCTTAAGGAAGAAGCTAAATCGACTAATAGCGGATTTTTAGGATCAGGATACGGATTACTAAGAGTAATATCATTATTAGGATCGTCTGATTCTTCAGTGGAGTTATCACTTGGATACTTCTTTTTTTGTTTCATTATGGACAGAATTTCAAACCCAGCCTTTTTATTTATGATATTATCACATAATGATGGCTTATCATTATCGATTATCATTAGCTTCATTACAGGACTATAATTTGTTACATAGACACATGACAATGAAGTACCAAGAACTCTGAATCTCGTATTTTTGTAGTTAAAGTCTGCAAACGGCCTGAAATTGTTCTGAAATATGATTACGCGGAATCTCTTTTTACCCACTGGACTGAAGTTTAAAATGTATCGCCTGACATCATAAAAGTGCTTTACATAAACTGTACAAAAAACGTATGCTTCATAGCTCGTCAGGATATCTGCGTTTTCGTTATCTGGTCTGTCGTGCAAGCTAGGTCTCAAAGGAATCTCTCTATACTTCTTGAAGATCAAGTACGGAGAATTCTTTCTGAATGATGATAGGTAAGGCGCATGAATTTTAAAAATTGGTAACCCTAATCCTTTTATTTTATACTCCAATGGTATTATATGCGATCTAGTGTCTACCAATTCGTCACCACGAATTGCATCATTCCCCTTTTTAGTCCCTTTACTTGTGGGCAACCTTCTGATACTCCCATTTGCATCATAAACAATCCTCAGATTTCGTATATCCTTTTTCTTATTCAGACGCAAATGCTTGAATAGTTTAAATGACTCTTCGTTTGCGAATAAATAAGTATTATGCTTCAATAGTTCTTGAACGACAATAAACCTTCGTTTTAGATTAAAATTAGACGCTTCTTTGTTAAAAATCAAACAAGTATTTACATTGCTATTGTCTATCATAGTTTTTTGGTCGTCACTATCGATATCATGATCTGCAGCAACAAATTCATCTGTTGCATTTCTCAATTGTCTCAATAAAAAGGGTAAATATAATGTAAAATTATCACTGTATGTTTCTTGTAACTCTAATTGTTGTTTTTTATCGTACAATAAAGTATCACTATCAGATAGTGCTATCGATCCACTAATGGAACTATTTGGTGAGATTTCTTGGTTGGTTAACTCGTTATCAATATGATTTGGGGTATGGTCAGGAAAATATAATACTTCATGATTTGAATTTGGTAAGCTGAACCTCCGTTCTTCCTCTCTGCCATCTAAACTACTGACTGAATCTAGCGACGAGATCGTGAAACGTCTTCGCTTAAAGATTTTCATTGTGGTTCAAGTCCTTTTGGAATGTCAGAATGAATTTTTTGCGCTTTTTAGAAGTAATGATGGTTCTGCCGCACTCTTATGATAACGAACTTTTACTCCAGGCGGTCATGTACCTTGAAATGTATTATAGATTCACACACGCAAATTAAGAAATTAAAGGCTTTATTATACATTTTATAGACGGGATTCTAGTCTACAATCTTTACCACACTATTATACACGTTCTCTATATCGAGCTCAAATGCGTTCTTATCTTTGTAGATGCATTCTTTCATGGGTTGATTAGATCTAATCAACGAAATTTTCATGTTTGATTTGTATCTTGGACGGCACACGTTCTGCTTTATCCATTCCGCGGTAATTGTACTATCTGTTTTACGAACAGTTTCAACGTTGATTATCTTACCGTCAACGTTTCTGTTGATCCTAACAAATTTAAATTCTTCAATTTTGAATGCCTCGCATAGTTTGTCAAAGAGATCTGTAGTGGGAGGTAAATTATTGAAACATATCGTTTTGAAATGAGGGTGTCTTGGCGAACTTTTTGTAGAGTGATAAACTTTCTGTTTGGATGAAGAAGACTCGTGGAATCTGAATGACGGAATGTTGTTTAGGTAACAGTATAACTCCTCAATGGAGTCATGTATGTAAAATCTAGCTTTAAGAGTATTAGTGTAGGGTCTACCCTGACCTTGTCTCTTTTTGATCTGGAAGTTACGAAATTTCTGTTTCTTCAAATTCGTGTTATTCTGTAGTTTGGATCCTTTAATTAAACATTTATCTTCTTGTAATGAACGAGGAACTGACACATTTTTGTAGGTCTCACCAGGGCCATAACTGTATCTTCTGCGTTTCAAACACAAGAGACTATTGACCAATTCAAGGCTTTCACCCGAATTAATGAATCTTACATTCTTCTCACCAAAACATTCTTCACTCTCCAAAGGTGATGAAATTGGACTGCTTAAATATGATGTATTTTTAATATCTTGAGATGTGGCCGCAAAAATATCCTCGCTCTCGTTGTCACTGCCCATTTCTGTTTGAATGGTGGCTGCCACCTGAGACAAAGTATTCAAATTGGATAAATAGCTAATGCTAGACATAGCAAATGTAAGCTGAATAATTTCTTCAAAGGACTCAGTTGAAAAAAGTGGGAAACTACATGCCCTTAAATATTTCGAAGATGGTTGTAAAAAAGACTTCATTTAATGTTTACAACCATCATTTTTACAACCACCATTTAGAATTAAATTAAATAATGCCTAGTATCCATCCAATTAATAAATGTAATAGATAATGCAAGATAGCCATATACAACAGAGAGCACTAGCCATTTTCCTTTGGTAGACATTGAAGCCTTTATAGCTACCTGGGACTATATAAACCATCATGGAACCACCCCCACCAATCGGTAATAACACGCACAAAAAAATGATAGGATGATTTCACAGCCATTATCAATACTTGCTTTAGCTGACTGAAGATTGATTTCGTATATCAGATGAGTGCTAGAAAATGGAAAGGCGTAGTGTGGTCAAGAACTAATAAAAATGTCCAAATATTATATTAAATTGTCTATAAGATTGCACAAGACTTCTAAATTGAACTTTGGGCCTTTCTAGTATTTTATAGTTACGGTAGTGTAGAATATTGATGTCTGTATTTCGGCTTTACGTAGCGAGTATAAATCACCTCTTATAGCTGCGTAATAGAAAAAGGGGTAATAGAAAGAGAACGAGAGAAAGCAACAGTCACAATTGCTACTCCGGACACAAATCTTTCCGTAGATTAATAAATTGACAAAATTGACGTAATGTCACTATTAGTGTAAATGCTATATAGCTACCGTTTGTAGGAGTAATAGTTGTATAGAAGTTGAAGAACGAATCGGAGTGTATTTCACGAGGGAAGACATAGTAAAATTGCTTTATTTTACTATGGCGCACTTACATATATATATATATCAATTATCGAAGTCCAAAAATTGAAATTTACTTGATTTCACCAATTGATTAATTTTTATTACAATTATTTCATAAAAATACAAGAATAATGCCTGAATTACGTCGTTCTGCCAGAGTTGCTTCCAAGCCAACCTCATCTCCAACAAAAGAGACAAAAGAGACCCAAAGTGAAACCCAGATAGAACCACCAACTAAGAAGGTTCAAACTAGCTCAGTTAAAGAATTGCAAGTGGGGGATAAAATGCCAGCTATTAAGTTATTAGATGAAGAAGAGAATGAAATTGACTTGTTGAAAGAGGCTGAATCTAACAAATATGTGATTATCTTTGCTTATCCAAAGGCATCGACTCCGGGTTGCACTAGGCAAGTTTGCGGGTTTCAAGAGAATTTCAGCTTTTTACAAAAGTCTAATGCTAAGGTTTATGGGTTATCGGCCGACAAGCCAAGTGCCCAGAAAAATTTTGTTACTAAGCAAAAGTTACAGTATCCCTTATTATCCGATCCATCAAGAGAATTGATTGAAGTTTTAGGTGCGAAGAAGGAACCTACTGGTATTAAGAGGTCCCATTGGATTTTCGTTGATGGTCTTTTAAAGGTGAAGAAAATAGCCATTAGTCCCGAAGAAAGTTTCAATAGTGCCAAAACAGACATAGAAACTTTTATTGGAACCTCTTCGGACAATCAAGAGTCAAAAGAGGCAAAACCAGAGGACTCTGAATCTAAAGTTCCAGAATCCAAAGAATCAAAATCCAAAGAAAATGAACCAAATGGGTTGGAATCAAAAGATTCAGAAACGAAAGATGGATCCGGTTTAAGTGAAGCTCAACCGGCTGCTAGCGAAGGATTAAAAGAAGAATTAAAAGTTGAATAAGAATTTCATGAATGATTATATATGATATATTAGTATTCAAATGAATTTATGCCTATATAGTCTTACCATTTAAATAAAAATCCAGCCGATAAAAGGAATACAGATACAATTGTTAAAGCCTTTGACGCCCACCAGTAATGCTGAACTAGGAATGAACAGTATGTAAATTCAAACAACCAAGATTGTTTCAATTTATCAAAATGCCCTGTAAGTATACCTGTTTGACCATCAAAATCTCCCATCATCGATTTAACCACGATTTCTCTAATGGGGAATCTTTCTCCTTCTGGCCTCACAGATTCAGAAGCTTCCCAAGTATCACCTAATAAATTATACCAACTGTTACATCCGTAGTGATCATGTCCTGTTAATATTATTCCATTTTTAGAATCCTTAGGGAATATTATATTCAAAATTTTTTGCGTAGATTCATACGACAAATGGTTCTGGGATCTTAATTTGCCGTTCTTATAAGGCTCTTGCGTATTATTTACATAGTATTTGTGTTCAGGGCCATCTTTGCACAAACCTTCCCTTTTGTAAAATGGAATATGGGTTAGCAAAACAGTTGATCCTTTGAAGTCCTTATTTTCATACTGGTCGATATTATTCACAAATGACCAAGTATAATTCAAAAATTCTTCCTGTAAAGCAGGACCTTCCAAAGTTAACGAATCTAACACAATAATTCTCCATTCTTCAGCGGTTCCTTTATTGTAGTTAATGACATAATTATTTTGACCAAATAAAAGATGGAACCTAGCCATATGCTGCCACGTTGCATCTCCACTATATCCTATATCATGATTACCAGTTAAATTGATGAAAAGTGGATTTTCGAAATCTGGATACTTCTTATCAAAATCGTACCAGTCATAAACATCGTTGTAAACTCTCGAGTTGAATCTTACCATTGGGTCCAAGTTCACTTCTTGGTTCAACCATTTCTGCCAGTCATAATCTTCATGTTTCTTGTATATATCAAGAACATTCTGCTTGTATTCAATTGGCCTTGTGAATAAACGTTCGACATATCGATAAGTTCTATTGTAAAATTCAGAATCATATATCCACTGCGATGAAAAGAGATCGCCCATTACCGCAACATGGCTTGGGTTTAATCTTTCCTTCATAGTAGTATAGATATGGCCCAAATAGTAATCATTTCCATAATTATCTAGCCTCTTAATATATTTTGTCAGAGCCCAGTTCCCATTGATTTGTGGATCACCAAATGCCAAAAGATGAATATCTTTCACATTATTCTGTATATCATAAGGTGATTTTGTATTCTGCAACTTATTGTCTTGCAAGAATGGAAAATTCATCAATAGCTTATCACTTACTGATTGATCTAACTCATTTATAAAGCCCAATTTACTCTTCAATCTCTCAGATTCTGAAAACTCATGCCACTTGCACAGCTGTGAATCATTCAAAATATCAGGATAAAAATAAACCAAAATATTGAATGCAATTGCTACCGCAACAACGGACCACTTAAATATCTTAAAACCACCACTGGCCATTAGTGACTTCCTTTGTATAGTTACTTGTTAATTGCTCCAATATTCATTTGAAGTACTTTGCCAAATCCATGAATAGTAAGTACTTCTTATTATGCAGGATTTTACCATCATCGTAGCATTGCAAAGAATAATCTAAAGGCTTACAGGAGCCGGTATTTGTAGTGGTTCTATATATGTCTGACATATCAGAGAGAATAGAGATAAGATTGGGATAGAAATTTCATCCAGATATCCCCTTTTTACAATTCATATAGCATATTCACGTTTTGAATTTTATTTGTCAAAGAATGTACTACGCTAGTCAGACAACTCTCTACATTCAGCTAGCACGCACATTAACCTGGATTATACGATTCAAAGCTTTCAGCTATTAGTATCATAAATATATATTGAATTTGATACAATACATCGGTTCATCATTGATAATGTATATTCAAAATTTTTAAGTAAGGAAGCAGTATTGTACAAATACCCGCTGGTCTAGTATCAGATTTTAACATAAATTAAATAGGGGATTCAAAAACTCATAACTTATAAAGCTTCACCTAAGGTGTTGTTCAACTTAGCAATCTTAGCGGAGACGGATAAGTCAACAGTTCTGTCACCAACTTCAACAATTAAACCACCAAGAATATCTGGGTTAACGTCGTTGGTCAATTTTAAGGTCTTACCATCGCCAACAAACGATGACTTACCAATCGAGGCTTGCAATCTCTTCAAGATTTTGGAGTCCAATGGCTTGACTGATGTAACCTTGGCTTCAACGAGACCTTGGTGGGCGTCGTTCAAAGTAGAAAATTCCTTGTAGATGTTTTGGAAGTGAGCTAATCTATTGTATTCAGCTAAAACATTCAAGAAGTTGGTGGTGGTCTTGTCTAATTTCAATCCCGATGAAAGAGCTTGAATCACAGCACTTCTATCATCCTTGGTTAAAGCTGGGTTGTGTAAAAAGTCCTTAACTTGAGAATCATTGTCAACTAATTCGTTGATTTTACCTAATAATTGGTAGGTTTTTTCAACTGATGATTCTTGAACGGATGCCGAGTATAATGCATTGGCGTAAGTACCGTCAACACCGAACAATTGAACAGGTGGCTTGATAGACTTGGTGGCTGAGGCCATAGAACGGACGAAGAAACGAGATGCCATCATTTTTCTATAGTATCTTATAAAGTTTATATGAATAGATCCTTTGAAGTATTGAATATAAGTTGTTTGAACACTCGGAGACGCTAGGTTTTCTCACAGAGATTCTACAAAATTATTGGTTACTGAAATTTACACGCGTTCCCAAAATCACTAGGTAAATATGATACCATAAATATGTCTCAATTTTTTTCACTTTTCAGTCCAACGATCTACATAGCAGGTGGTATCACACGGATATAGGGAATACAATGTTGCCTTGGACGAGAAGGTGCTTAGCCAACCCTATAAGGGGGGTCAAAACGTCCATTTTGACATTAACCAGACTTCAAAGTACGATACCTGAAACAGGAGAATCCACTTTGACAGACTTGGAAAAAAGAGATGAAATATATAAAAGACAGAGAAAGTTGGCGTCAGCCCATGTTAAATTGAAGTCGTATGCAAACGGACACTTGCAGCCTGGTTCGACCAACTTTAAGAAGCCTGTGCATGATCATTTGTACAAAGGGGGACCTGTAAGAGAATTAACGGTGTCGAAGAGAAAAACTGCCGGTAGAAACAATACGGGACATATAACCATTCGTGGTAGAGGAGGGGGCCATAAGCAGCGTTATAGATTTGTGGACTCGCATAGATTGGAAGGAGGTAAGCAAACTGTGTTGAGAATTGAGTATGATCCTAACAGATCCGGCCATATTGCGTTGGTGAAACACGACGAAACGGGGGATTTATCGTACATCTTGGCTGCCAGTGGATTAAGAGAAGGGGACGTGGTAGAATCGTTTAGAAAGGGTTTACCAAAGGATTTCCTTGACGAAATGAACGAAACTAATAATGGAGAAATTGATGAAGCATTATTGAATTCGAGAATCATGCAGAGAGGTAACTGCTTACCATTGAATATGTTGCCAGTGGGCTCGATCATTCACAACATTGGTTTACATCCTAACGGACGTGGTCAATTGGTCAGATCGGCTGGTACTTTCGGTAGAATATTGTCCAAGCATCCAGATATAAACAAGGCCATCGTTAGATTAAGTTCCGGAGAACATCGTTATATCAACATCAACTGTCATGCTACCTTAGGTACTGTTTCTAATAAGGAACACCAGGCTATCTCTTGGGGTAAAGCCGGTAGAAGTCGTCATAGAGGAAGACGTCCAATGGTCAGAGGTGTTGCTATGAATGCATTTGATCACCCCCATGGTGGTGGTAGAGGTAAATCGAAGTCCAACAAGGTTTCTCAATCTATGTGGGGTCTTAAGAAGTTTGCCAAGACTAGAAAGTTCAAGAACGTAAATAAAATGAAGGTGAAGGACAGACCAAGACGTTAATTTATTCATGCTTGTAAATATAAATCAATAAATAGCTCGTAATATATATCATACATAACAATCTGTAGTTCCCTTCCGTAAACAATTTATAAGGTAACAAAATAAATTCTTGAGGAAAACATTCAAGTACTCGAAGTTATTGGTAATGGCTAGGACAGCCACCACAATTAAAATCGACAAAAGAAAAAATACCCATTTATAGTTACTTAATAATTCCCTGTTCGCTTCTGACAAAATTCTGTTCCAAATTATATCGAATATAATATAGTTGATTGGGCGCCTAGGAGCTGCTGGTGAAGGCGGTGGGGAATGATGAGGTAACAACGGTTCCCTACGAGATCTCCTCAAACCCAAAAGATATTTAATGTACCTTTTGGCTCTTTTAAATGATGATACCTCAAATCCTGTAGTTGCAAAATGGTCCACAGATCCATTGTCAACATTCTCACCAGTTGGGTGGTTCGAAATACCAGACGCTATGGATTCATTACTGTCATTCCAATTGGTTTCGTGGTTTGTTCCATAATTCGGTTCAGGGGAAGGTTCTTTCATTGTGGTTTTATATAGTTG